TTGGCGTGTGGTCACCCAGCTGCTCAAAACCTCCACGACTACTGCCGCTGCTGCTGCTCTCGATGCTGCTGCCTGCCGCCTGCTGTACCTGCCTGCAAACTTGCAAAGCTTGGAGGTGGAGGTGAGTGGGGTGATGACGCCGACTTGAGGACAAACTTCGATGAAGTGACAACGAGGGCCGGTCAGGGACGGCGCCGGGGAGCAAACGCAATGGTCATGGGGACTACCGAGGGGAAATGGCAGGGTAGGTTGACGGCCAACTTCGAAAGGAACTTGAATTTGAAGCTGGCCGCGCCTCCCACCCGAAAACAAATTCGGGGCCCTGGCACGGCCCGAAAAAAATTGTGACCCCGCCCAGATTTTTTTTCCTTTTCTGGGACCCCTCCATTTTTGCCATGCGGTGCATCGCATGCGCACACTACGTGCGCAATCCGCCGTGCGGCGTGTGTGTGCAACAGGCACGCACGCGATGCGCCACAAGTATGCTGTCCAAATAAGGGCATACTCACCCAGGCATTTTTTTAAGATGTATCCAACCGTAGTTACGGTGAGACGTGGATGGCTCTGATGGCAATCGCGTCCAGAGCTGCGTACCATCGTGTTCATTTTCGGGGACCAAACCTGAACGTTTGCGGCCGAACGCGAACGAGCGCCAAAACCCTCCGAACGCGAACATAAAAGAAAAGAAGGTTTTTCAGAAAAATCTGAAAAAACTATATGTTATGTGAAAATTAGTGAAATAATAAAACAAACTAGTTGAAACAACTTTTGCCTGGGACGCATGTTGAAATTCTTAGCGGAACGTGAGTTAAAAATAAAAAACTCTTTAAAAAAATCATTAAAAAAAAAAGTTCAACAGAACACGTTCTGGTCTTCTGGAGGCGTCCGGCTGAACACCCGAACGTGTTCGGGCGATCGCGAAAACCCCGCGCCCGAACACGTGCAGTGTGCTACACAGGTTTTGAGCTTAGCAGAAAAATTCCCAATGTGAGTATGCCCTAAGGCAGTTCCTCTGTAGTGCTGTACTTCTCCCACCTTCTTTCCGCAACCTTTGTGAGATATCTAATCAACCCAGTCTGATAGATACTCAGAAGTCGTGAAACATCAGTAGTCTCAATATCTGCAACAAAGTCTCCAAATCGTGAAGTGATATCTCAAACAGTATCTCATTACCATTAGAAGAAGAGAGTGGAGGGGGAACAGACAGAGGAGAAGATGGAAGAGATGATCAAAGATCACACAATAGCAATCCCTTCAAACCCCTCTCCTTCTCCGGGCTTCTTCCCTCTCCACGTCAACAACCAGTAGATGATAATAAGTAGAGTAATCCTGATCACACACAATAGTGCCACGTGGCACTTTATCTTGTGAAGATCGTGAAGACAAAGCAGACTCCAGTGATGACGTCAACCTCAGGTGAGTACCCGATCTCCTTCATCCACAGATCCCGATCTTCCTCCTCCTCGCAACCAGTCACCTCATGTAGACAGCGTGGACAATGCCACGTGAGCAGCCGAGACAGGTGGCATACGCCACATCATCAATGAAGAACAGTGGCACGCGCCACATCAGCAATGTAGACTAGAGGCAGCACCACATCAGCATGCAATGTAGACCAGAGGTAGCGCCACATCAGCATGCAATGTAGACCAGAGGGAGCACCACATCAGCATGCAATGTAGACCAGAGGTAGCGCCACATCAGCATGCGAAGTAGACCAGAGGGAGCACCACATCAGCATGCAATGTAGACCAGAGGTAGTGCCACATCAGCATGCAATGTAGACCAGAGGTGGCGCCACATCAGCATGCAATGTAGACCAGAGGCAGTGCCACATCAGCATGCAATGTAGACCAGAGGTAGCGCCACATCAGCATGCAATGTGGACCAGAGGCAGCGCCACATCAGCATGCCTGGCGCACAGAACAAGAAGCGACAGCCTGCTGCCTCCACCTCGTGCCGTCGTCCGCAACGCCTATGCACAGTGAGCGTCCTAGCCAACGTCACACCAGTATAATGCCAGCGTCTTGTCAAAGTCGAGCCAGCGTCAAAGCAGCATGGCAAGACTGAATATTGACCACCTCGAGGCCAGTCTTTAAGTAGCATTTGACGAGGTTCTCTGGCCTCGGGTCTCCTTCCCTCAGTCGTCCAGATTGATTCACAGCCGAAGGCCTGGATTGTACAGTTGCAGACTTTCCCCTTGGACCTGATGCTGTCTGGGTACCTGCATACAAACAAATGTGTGTGTCCGACCGGCGGCCTGGGCTGGGTACACTTTGACTTTGACTGTTGGTGTTTCCGACAGTTGACGTTTTTCAACCTTACCTCGTCCAGGCCCTGAATCTTTTGCTGGGGTCTTTTCCCCCGTTTTGGCCTGGGCCTGGGTGTGGCCTGGCGAGGCCCTCAGTTTCCACGAGGCTTACTACATGGGGTATTGCAGATATCTTTTTCTGGAGAATGCTGCGTCCCAATTGTGATGAATATAGTCCAGTATTGATCAGCATTCTTCTGTCCCGTCCTCCTTCCCCATTTTCTAGGATCTATTCTAAGTTCTCTGAGAGTTTTTTGCCACTCCGTATGGTCTGCAGCTGGGCTACCAGCCGGGCCGCCAGGGTGGCCAGCCCGTGCAAGGACCAGGGAAGGTCCCAGCAAAAAAAAAAAAAAAAAAAAAAAAAAAAAA